TGCAACTGCAGTCGTACACAATACGAATAGGTGTCGTAGGGGAATCTTTTAATACAGCGTGATGTGGGATGTAGTGGCAATAACCATTTGATGTTTCTGGATTTGTAACTCTTTCAATAAAACCTCGTTTTAACTGTTCGTTAATAAGTTCACTGTAGGTTTGCAATGTCTTGGGGTCTTTGGCTAATCTCCTTACAGTGGAACGGGTTCTTCCTCGCGCTACTGCTTCGTTGGTGGGAAGGGGTCATGGTTAGGTTTCCATGGTAACTTTGCACAGTATCGGCCATTCACGAGTCGTATTGAAGAATCCTGATATTCCTTAACAAACTTGTCTTCGTGGGTTGTTATTTCGTCTGGAAGAATCCCAATAGATTCTAGATTCCAAAATCGTTCTAAAGCTTTACTTTCGTGCTCGTTTGAAACAATAACTTTCAAGATGGTTGCATTGAGAGATGTTGTCGCAACAGCTGGCCCAGTTGTTGGTCCAGAAAGCAAGTAACCGATTCTAGATTTCGCTGCAGTGGGGCCCGGTCCCCTAACGATTTCGTCTTCGACAACGTCCCAGTAGTGGTCCGCGCCAATCAAGAGGGATATGTGGAAATGATCATCAGTCGTGCAAGTTTCAAGCCGTTGAGGTGTGGGAGGTTTCGAATTTCGGCGGTGGGGAAACTTTTCTGCGGAACTGCGATTGTGGGAATTATCAATACCTGTAAAGGATCTTCGGTGTTGAGATTAATCGTAGCCATGTCTACTTGTTTGATAGAAGTCAAAGACCCGCCAAAGACTGATAGATTTAAGGTTTCGCTTCCTTCAGGCGTAAGTTCGAGTTCGTCAGCTAAACTTTGAGTGATAAAGGAACGTTGAGCACCTTCATCAAAGAGAATGTGTGCTGTCGCTATTTTGTTCTGTGTTGCTATCGTATTAATGGCAGTTTTGAGGAGTGTTTGTTTCCCATAGTAGTCGTTGACTGACAGAGATGTGTGGACACGGTCTGGGGTTTTGTCGACGGGTGGATTGGTTTTCGCGTTTTGAACTTGCGTCGTAATATTCGGTGCGTCGTTATTTGGCAGATGATTTTTCCCGGTATTTTTTGTCGCATCTTTGTTCGTTTCATTACAAAGACTCGTGTGGTGTTTCTTGTGACACCCTCGACAGCGATTTCTCGAGTTACAATCAGATACGCGGTGATTGTTCAAACAGTTAAAACATAACTTCGCTTGGAAAACAATATTCTTACGGGCTGTGGGATCCTTTACTACAGTACACTCGTTTGGGCGATGGTGGCCCGAACAGAAAATGCATAAACTCTTGTTTGTAGGGCGATTTTTAGGTGCGTAAAATTCTTTTGCGTTGGCATGGTTTCCAAACTTTCCGGATGCGTTTGTCAGTAGACTCGATGTTGATGGCAGGGTGTTGACAGGTTTGCCTAATTGACTAATTTGACTGAAAGAGTCTGTTTCTTCCCCAGCTTCTAATATTTGAATTTCTTTCAAAATTGATTTGCGTAATTGTTCTACTGACCAGTTAGTTGAACCGTTCTCTCGAATTAAGTTGTGCTTGATTGTAGTGGGAAGTTTACCCAAAACAATGGGGATTAAAAGGTCACCGTAGGTGTCTTGTTTCTTTCCTAACGCCTCGAGACCTCGAATATGATTTTCCATGCTATCGTAAAATTGGCGCAAGGTAGACACTGAATTTGAAGGGCATGGTAGATCTAACAAGGCTTGCATGTGTGCGTTAGTTATCTTGTGGGGTTGACCAAATCTCTGTTCCAAAATTGCAATACATTGCGCGTAGTTTGACTCTGTAAGCGTTAAACCTTCGATTGATTGCGCGGCTTCACCTGACACTTGAGCTTTGAGATATGTAATTTTTTGTATGTCGCTTAGGCTGGAGTTTTCATGTATAGCGACCTTATAAGAGTCCCAAAAGGTTTGCCATTTTAACACGTTGCCGCTAAATACTGGCAGTGCTAACTTTGGTAATCTATGACTATTTGTATTATGCGATTGTGGCGGCGTACTTTGAGTAGGAAAACCGTGTCCGTTTTGTGGTGTTGTGGTAGCCATATAGGGCTAGCTAACGAATTACTATGGATTGTACTTTGATTGATAAAGAATTCTATGGTGTACCTCTTTTTAGTTAGTTCCGTTAAATAGTCGTCGGCTTCAACGATCTCCATCTCTAAGCCCTTTTCGTCTTCGATTAGATCTGATACAGTTTCATCCAACTTTCGAAGTAATTCGATTTCGCGTCGTACGTTGCCAGAATGACCCGTAGTTTCTCAATATTAACTTCGTTCGTTTCACCGTTTATGAGTAGTTCAGCTTCGTTCCAAATTTTAGTTGCTTGTGCACGTTGAGCGCCACGTTTTATCCTTGCGCGTTTTAGACCGTCCATCCTGGTCACGGCACCTGTCTCGTTCGTCACTCGAAATAAGCTATAGTGTTGTCTTGCGTTGTGTTAACTTGTCTACGACGATAACGAGATCTAATGTAGCATAGGTTCTTTCGATAGAATCAAGGACGATCTACACCATAGTTTGAATATGTATTATTTACACTAACACAAGCTCAAAAGCCAGTGCGAAAACTATATACAACAAAAAGGTGATTATCAAATTATCCTGAATGTCCCAGTTATCCTAGTGCAAGTGTAATTCTATCCTAGTTCAATTAACTAACCGTGTTCGATATAAGATATTAATAATGAACTGTTTATATTAGAATGCGTGCAATATATCTATAATGTTCAAAGTACTGTCAATTCTCGACACGGTTGTTACTTTGAAACACATAGCATTTTCATTGATATAACTTTCAAGTTGTCGCGGGATAATAATTTTCAGAATATTAAGTACTAAGCAAAAGTGTTTAGGTAGCATGTATTGATATATTATGGGTTCTACTTAATCACAAAGTATATATAATAATATTGTATAAAATGTATCGATTGACACTCAACTCTAGAAATATCACTATGATATATCAGATTTATTTATGTAGAAAAGTGTAAATCGATCCAAAACTTGGCTTAATCAATTTCAAACCCTTTCATTAATAGCAAATACATTGTTAGACATTCTCAACAAATTATTCTTAGCCTTGTTCTGATTCAAAAGCTGCCTAGTTGCCCATTATTTCATATTTCTATAGTGACAATCGAAGTGACAACCGATGTTAGTTTCATTGCATTCGTCTGGTCCGGAAACGCTTATTAGCATAATTAGCGTATAACACTAACTTTGTGTTGTATTATGCGTACAACGCTGTATACTGCGAGTCCCTTTCGTTACATATTCTTGGAAGCCTGTGCAACTTTCTTGCTTCGGCGGGTCGCGCGCGCTAGTACTTGCTAACGCGTCAGCATTAGGGAGGTCTATAAGCCCTGGAGAAATCACGAAGTCCGTGTCATTCTTTACCACGTACGAATACGCTGAATAGTAATTTTTGGGATTGTCTGACTGAGTTGAATTAAATACCATGGCAAGGTGTTGAAGCACAATTACTTTATTGTTATTTAAGTATTTACATTAGCAAATGGTGGCTGCATGTACAGGCATAGCCCCAATTATTACAGCTACAATATAACAACCGTGAACCGGCCTAGCTTGGTTTTTCAATTTATGTGAGATTGTTGAGGCAAGCATGGGCTTGCTGGAACAAAGCAGCTGAGCAAAAAACTATATTCACACAAGCAAATCTCAAAGTCATGCCACCTAGAAACATTAATTGATCGAGCCATTTGAGGTTTAAATGTGTAAAAAAATATTAAATTACAACATATTATCATGATCCATCATCACCTTAAGCTCTAATCCTATTTGAGCTGCCATTAATTATCAACTGAACTACTGGAGATTCAGGGATATTCAGTATTTGACCAGGCAGACAATAGAAATTTAAAGTAATCTGGCATCACTACCTACCAATATGCCTTAGTTATACAAACCTTCTTTCCTCTTGGGCTGGCCTGCCTGGACAAGACTCTTTTCCAAGCCTTACATCTTGGATAACAGCTGGGCATCGATGATATTCCCATACCACCACCACAACCATGCATCAAATGTCATCACCACCATCACCACCACCATCATCATCTTTATCACCACTCACCATCATCATTACCACCACCATGCATCAAATGCCATCACCACCATAATCACCATTACCACCATCATCATCATTACCACCCACCATCATTACCACCCACCATCATCACCATCTTTATCACCACTCATCATTACTATTACCACCACCACAACCATGCATCAAATGTCATCACCGCCATAATCATCACCATCACAATCATCACCACCATCACAATCATCACCACCACCACAATCATCATCATCATAATCATCATCATCATCATCATCATCACCACCATCATTATCATCATCACCATCATCATCACCACAATCATCATCATCATAATCATCATCATCATCATCATCATCACCACCATCATTATCATCATCACCATCATCATCACCACCATCATCACCACCACCGTCATCATCACCATCATCATCACCACCATCATCGCCACCACAATATGCAGTGTAAGCCATCATGTAAATTTAATTGAGGTTTTCTTGTCATGTTGTTTTCACACGAAATTTTGTCGGCGAATTTCGTACGTATGTGTACATCGTTGAAATAGTTTCCTTCCTTCTCAATAACTATAACTTATGCTTCGTATACGCGATTTACTTACGTCACTGAATTCACAACGCAAGATTGAAAACAGTCAAAGCACGGTGATACAATGCAAATTTATTCAAAATTAAACAAATTTAACGCTTTTTATTTGTTACAACCATATTTATTGGGATTCCTATGGGTAAGGTTGTTTATTTTATTTATTACTGAAATTATGTACATAATTTTGGCCTTACAATTTGAAAAGGCAATTTTCCTGGATACTGTCTACCTGAAATTTTTGTCAACAATAAAGTTTTGAAGGTTTTATCCCTCAGAGAGATTTCAAAATAAATTTTAACTTTGAAATCTTCTAATGGGGTGTTTATATGGAGGTGAGACAGCTCATGCACCCGAGCTAGCTGACCTAGCTCACTTTGCTGAGCTGACTTTATCCCATGTTTACATAATAATAGGACTCATTATCTATGTTGGTCAACGTTTATTCACAAATCTGGTACTTCACCGTCACGTGAGTATTGTATTTTTACCCAACTAACCAATTCTGAACGATATCCTTTGATGTTACAATCACGTGCCCCAATGTTATCCTTATTCCCAGCTAAGGAATTTGATTACTGCAATAAATCAGTGAAGAGTTTTCAAAGTGCATATGACATGAAATTTCTTATTTTCTTAAACGAAAGAACTCTTTAAGCTGTAGTGTAACTTATTTTTCAGTTTCTTGTTTTTATGATTTGTTCCCGAGATATTTCAATTTGTTTGATATGTAAATGAGTGTGAATATGTCCGCTAATTTATGACGTCATGTTGGTTGCAAGCTCAACTTACACTGGTTAAATATCTATTAACTCTAAAAACTGTAGATATCTGTTCACGTTTTTTACAGAATTTCATCACATTTACCTGTGAGTGAAGTTTGAAATTATCATCTTGGATGATAGCAGTGATATTCAACCATTTTGAAGAGCTTGCAACCAACACGACGTCATAAATTAGAGGACATATTCACACTCATTTACATATCAAACAAATTGAAATATCTCGGGAACAAACCATAAGAACAAGAAACTGAAAAAAGTTACACTACAGCTTAAAGATCGCTAGTTCTTTCGTTTAAGAAAATAAGAAATTTCATGTCATATGCACTTTAAAATAACCTTATACAAACGGCTACGACGAAACAAGCATTCACGTTGCTAAAATTTTAGTTTAACGTTGTATTCAGAATGAGAACGTTGTTGAGGATACCTCTGGGATCACAAATTATTCAAACGTTTTGTTTTGCATGAAGAACTTCTTCGCTTCGGAAGGCACATATCTTTCAATTCGCGTTGTGTTTTCTAAATCAGTCTATAATCACGATGAAAACGTCCAAAAATAAGTCATCCTTGGCTCAAGTTGTTGCGGGATAATAATTTTCAGAATATTAAGTACTAAGCAAAAGTGTTTAGGTAGCATGTATTGATATATTATGGGTTCTACTTAATCACAAAGTATATATAATAATATTGTATAAAATGTATCGATTGAAAAAAGAAAAATTCGAAACATTCGAAATTTGGGCAATGTTTACATTAGAGGTCCTCACATTGTTATGAGCAGAACCGATGCGCAGAGCGGACTTGACTTCCACTTTAAGGTTTAGATAAATACTTGGTAGCACTTATCCAAAAGGCAAGTTTGAGCCAAGATGTTTAAATTCTTGTTTATATATCAGATAAGAAATCCCGTCTTAACCTTAACCAAAAATTTTTAACTATAAATTTCATGTATAACACAGTTCTGAAGGCGTTCGGCAAAAATAATGCTGACGTCAGCACTTTCATTTTCCAAGAGCTGTAATTCTGTAGGAATTATTGGTTATTATTGGAGCCAAGACCTAGAACACAGAATAGAGACAAAAAGAAACTCCGACTCAGCCGAAAAAGTGTAACCCTTGCCATGCCATGATTCGTCATCAAAATGCCGACGCCATAGCTAGCTAGTGTGCTTATAAGAGGCATTCATCCCCTGGACGTCCGCCATTTTGAATATTTTCAGGGAGTGAATGCCTCTCATAAGCGTACTGCAGGCTAACCATGGCGTCAGCATTGCAACGATTACCACCAAAATCATAGGCAAAACCAAGAAGTCGACCTTCTGTGAGTCTCTATTCTGTGCTTAGGGTATTCACTCAGCAGGCTGAACTTGATTTGCAGGTTAATTGACTTCAATGACGTCAAAAGGCGGGATGCCGTGTGAAGGCCCAGTAAGTTTCCTAGCTCTGCTGAGAACTCAATCTCGAACCCTGAGCCTGCAATCCTCTGTGGAGGCTTGCCGAGGCTCTGAAAACACCAGCGAAAATCGGGTTCTGGTTGGTTGTTTGCTAATTGTTCGTACCCATTTCTTTTATACTGATTCCGTGCTAATTATTATTCAAACTGTGAGACTATTTGGTGATTCAAACATAGTTTAATATGAACTTTATTTGTCTTTGTGTATTATGTTTAAACATATCAATGAAACACAGAGGGTACTTATTTATCAAGTCAGCACTCGAGCCAAAAATAACGTCAGGTGATTTTGACCGATGGAAATGAGTAAATTATATTACGCGATGCTGCAAATCGCAAAATCGGAGAACACGGTATAGGTCGTTTGCAATCTGCTTCAATTTCTGGTTGTGGAACAAAGTCTGTGGAAATATTTAGTCAAGTTTGCCTGGTTTAAGTATTTCTAGTGGCAGTAGCATGGCCAGACTAGATTAATTTCGCCGCGCAATGATTTTGCATTTAATTAAATAGTGTTGTCGAAAGGACTTCCCTATTTCGAGCAAGATTAAGAAGATTTGTATACTGTATACAACAGAGCTGGACTTGTGGACCGTGTCGACTATTGGATTGCCTGTACGTTGTGACAAAAATTATGAACATGTGGATGTTCAAAGCAAATAATATGGAAAATAGCAGTTGTATTGAATCGTATTGATTTGAGGTAAATAATTATTGAAGTGTGCCTGTGGACATTGGCTGCAGTACCTTCGGCGTGCATAATATTTGTGAAAATTCACATCTTGTCACTCGTATTTCGCCATATTGCAAAGGCGCCGACGTTAACGAAGGTAAGTTTGTTTCAAATATTGTTGTATTGTTTGCTTTATAATTGTTTTAAAAGCGGATCTTTGCGTATATATTAAATGAAACAAGGCAGGCAGAGGCTTAATAGACAGCATATAATTTCAGTGCATGTATCTTTATTGATTACCCTTTTTTATTGCGTGCGAGAATTTGAAATCATTTTATTTCAAACTCAAAGTTTATCGATAAAGCCTAAAGAGTAAAGGCAGTTTAGTTTAATATATTAAAAGAACACTTTTACCTAATTAAAAGTGATATATTTAGGGATTCTTCATTTGTAAAAATATTCTTAAAAAATTATCGTGTTCCCATGACAACTACTTTAAATACTTCATGTTCGGAAAATACAATGGTTTTGTCAGCAAGGCGAGAGTTTCTGCATGCATGTATTTTCTATTTTATCAATCTTAGAATACTGTTGCGAGGTGTGGAACAATGCAATACGCCATATGATGTACTGGAAAAAGTACAAAAGCGAGCTATGTGTATTATCCTTCCTGGTGGCTTCCCAAGATTGAACGACACTAGACGAAATGATATTTGTATGAAAACCTTAATGAAGATTGCCAAAGGGGGCGCTCTTGCGGAACATACCACCCAGACTAGAGTTGCGCTCATCAACACTTTATTTATTTAGACCAGAATTCTAATAATTTGTCATTATTTTCTTTTCTGTGTTGGTGTTGTGTACTCAGCCTCAGGTGAATATGATGTTTGCGATGTTACTCTGTGTGTATATCCATACCGGACAAGCTTGAAAAATATGCCTGGCCACGATAGGAATCGAATCTACGACCTTTGTACTACTAGTATAGAGCAGAACATTTCAAGAATGGTTTCTTTCCAAGCACAATTGCTATAAATGTTCAATACAAAGTGACTAAATTACAAAGCCAAAGGGAACCATATTTTAGATTATAATTGAACCTTTTTATAATAATAGTATAGTTAATTAGTCAGATTATTTTCTTTTAGCTTAGTTATAATAATTTTGTAATTTCTATATGACTACAGTATGTTATTTTTAAACTGTCATTAAACATCAAATAATAATAATTAAAAAACCCTCCATATTAGATCCTGAAGAGCGATTCCAAATAAATTAATAATGCATGGTTAGTTGAATCTCAGTGCTCTACTGTATTTACATGTAAGGAATAACATTCCTTCAATAAATAGCCATTCCGCCTTTAATTCGGTCTCTATCTCGCCTTGCCATGTCATAACAGGCCGGTATTTCACCTTAGAATAATTCTTATAATTTCGAACATGCGGTCTTTACGGTAAAATATTTATAACTTGTTGTTGCTGTGTACCATCGTTCAGTCAACACAACAGTCTCTCGGTTTGAAATATCGTTAAAGCATGAGTTTCGATTATTATACCTACAGTGTGTCTCAAAAAAGTAAACCCTTTCAAGTTCAAATTAGCTATAACGTATTGTAGTAATTTGACAGCTCTAATTGCTTTGAATTAATGGTTGGATAAGAACACAAGGTCTTGTACTCATGGGACAAAACTCAAAGAAATAAAAATTAGAAAATTTAAAAGTTTTTAAGTGTTTTGTACAAGTGTGTGTACAAGAGTACAAGACCCATGAGTACAAGACCTTGTGTTCTTTATACCCAACGATTAATTCAAAGCAATTAGGGAGCATTCATTTTCTAGCTGGGGGGGTGGGCCGGAGGAACTGATGTCTAATTCCATGCGAAAACTTGGAACCCCCAAGACAAAAGTTGATAAAAAATTATGACCCCCTATTTTTTTTACTGAAAATTTTTTGACCTCTCATCCTAACTATTAATCCACACGGTGTCGTTTCCATAGCGTTTCAGGGCCGTAGGAAGCTCTTTTTGATTGGCGGGCCGAAAGCGAGGGCCGAAGGCCCAAGGAAATTTTCAAATCTAGAGTCTCTGAAATGCCATTTCCTGGCCTTTGGGGGAAGATTTGACAGAATTCTGATGGTCAGAAAACAGTGTTTTAGTATGTCGAAATTGACAATTTGGTAGTACTAAATGGGCGAAGGCGTATTTAATTTACCATATATTGGATAACTAGGATAAGTTGCAGGAAACTGTGGGTACTATCTTCATTCTTTGCAGTTTGTCATGGATAATGTAGCCGCTTAAAATTAATAAAGCTTAAAATTGATCAATGTCTGCATGATTTTGAAGTCATGCAGACCTTGAAATCATGCATGATTTTGAAATCATGCTACGGTCCTGCGTTTTCTTTATTCATGTTTTCACACAAAAACGGATAAAAACGAAGTCAATTGATGAACGTCATGGAAATGTTTTCCTATGGACTGTGAACAGAGCGCCAAATGAATTTTGCTTCATTGTTATAGATGACGAGATAGTTGATAGATTCTGGACCTTTTTACCATTCTTGATCCAAATATTTCCAAATTCAATAAAATCATATTGGTGATTTTTTCACTGATTATTTTTATGACCCCCTCCATTTATACCAAAACTATAAAAAGACCCACCCCTTTGAAGCATGTCAAAATTGGCTGACCCACCCCCAAATTCCTCCGGCCCACCCCCCAGCTAAAAAATGAATGCTCCCTTAGAGCTGTCAAATTACTACAATACGTTATAGCTATAATTTGAATTTGAAAGGGTTCACTTATTTTAGACACACTCATGTATAGTTAATATTCCCCATAGGCGTACGGGACAGGGGGCAGTTGCCCCCAGTCAAAATAAAGTTCGGGCAAATTATAAACGTAATTCGGTCAAAAATTGGGGGAAATAACCTATACTTAATTAAAAAGAAGACATATACAATACAGTATTTGAAAATACGAGAATTATGTAAAAGTAACGTTTTTTGGTCGAAGCAACCTGAATAGAAATAAAAATATGAAGAGGTAATAATCTACCAGCTAATGGGTATTAAACGTTGAAGCTAGGGGGTTTTGAATTGAATATAACTGAGCAGGAGTGATTATATATAATTAACTGATGGAAGAACTAAGTGTTACCCCCTCTAACGAATAATAGCCATGATAATATACAGCAACTCTAATATGTTTGAATTATTGGCAAATTCTGCTTGCCTTTATATTCGTGAGCCTGCCCTTTGGCTCAATGCACCAGTCAATATGAATAACTCAATACCTGCCTCGTCCAACTTAGGAAATGCAGGGATTTGGACTTCATGAACCTTCTGCGCAGCGACAGGTATAGCCATGCATTCCCTCTATATCCAAGAATAACAAACTCATAATAACACAAGCTTTTCTCCATCTTCTTTAATTTTCTATTTCAGTGGGGATTCTGCCAATTCGTATCATTACATATACCAAGTTTCATTCTAATTTTAAAATTTCATTGGGCGAAAGAGTCGGAGTTTCTTTTTGTCTCTATTCTGTGTTTCATCACGTGAAAGTCAAAACACACTCTCCTGGCAACAGAATCGTAATTCAATAAACTATAGACTAAATCATAATTTCTAAGGGACCGGTTATTAATAATAGGAGGGGGCGGTGGGTGAGAAAAGGGAGCGGCTTCAACTATTTTTGCCTGAATTGGGGGCGGCCTGAAAACTGAAAAATAAGCGTGTGACAAGGGGCGATGTCAATTTTTTAATACTTTCCTACTCATTTTCAATCTATCGCCTTTATCGTATCCCACAAAATATTTCACCTTTTTCCAGTTCCTATAATTGTAGTTTCCATAGTTTGGTAGGAGTCGGAGTAAATAACAACCATTTTGAATACTGGTCCTCTAATTATTTAGGCTACACAATGTCTTACACCAGTACATGTCCCATTACCTATTTTACACCCAAAAATGCAACGAATTAAATGTTGGAGGGCGGTCCTAAATGTTCTAGATGAAGGTGGAACGTCTTGGAAACTTGTAAAGTCCCCCCCCCCCCAATTATTACTGATGACCGATCCCTAAAGAGCGAATCATAAACACTGATCACAGAACGTGGCAGAAATAAATATTACATAACACGAAAAAACGTGCACACCATACTATTAAAACACGTCGAGCAGGAGTGCTTTATTGGATGAGTTCATTGGCGAAGTAATTTTGAAAATAAACGTTGTCTAAGCCAAGAAAATCAAAGCTATGAATTATTATCAGCTTTTTAAATATATATATATAGTCTATATAATTATATGACTGGGCAGACTGGCTGTAGATAAAAAAGGTAATCCATGTTATCATGCATGCATTAGGTATTAAGATTATAGATTTACCTCTTTTACACGAATAAAGAAGTTAAAGATCAGGCATACAGCTGATATACCTTTTTTGAATGTATTATTACGATCAAAAAATGGCCAAATTGGATTCGATCCAAAGTGGCTGGTCGAAATCGCATTTCCACCTGTGGGAAATAGTTATATATAACCGTAGTTGATATCCTTCCAAAAATTAAATGATCGCTTATCATTATAACCGCCGCCGATTAATTTATCGAATTTGTTGTGCAGGTGCAACCTGATCTGCTGTGCACACAGTTGATTCATTAACAATTCATATCCATAATGCAACATAAATTCACAACTTTCGTTCAGCGCATCAGCTGTATAGGCCGTTACACTTATATTTGTTTGCAATATTTGTGTATGGAAAGCTGATAGTTTCAAATAATCGATGATCGATCTGGAAATCTATAAAATGGTAAATATCAAACTTTTCAACAAAAATTTACATATTTATTTAGTGTTTGCAAGCTATTTGTAAGGCATTTGCATGAATATATCGATAAAAATGTAAAAATACGTTATTAAATAAGCTTAATCGATTATCTGTCTAAGTTATCAGCTGGTTGTTGACAGTTTGAGGGAAAGAGAGCCTTTTAGTATCTCTGCTTATGTAAACTTCGCTGCCAAAATAACTTTTAGATTCTTATTTTGTATATTGCGCTCCAAATTCACAGTTATAGTAAGTGATGGCTGAAGCATATTGCAAAGAGCAAGAATCCAACGAGGAATCAAACACTGCATCGATTTGTCCAGTAAAATGCACGGACGAAATTATATCGCCTTTGGAAGAGCTAGCTTATGTTAAATCTCATCGAATGCGGCGAGTTCGTTGGTCCGAAGATTTAGAGGAAATCCGTTACTTCAGTGTGAAGACAAAGAAAGATAAAGAACGTAGCGAGTCAGAGAGTGAGCTGGCAAATAACTCTGCAATTTGCAACCGTCGTCGGTTAAGTGACCTGTCTATTTCCTCTATTGAAAAATTCAAAGCTTGGTTAGATGATAAAGATTTTAAATCTGATGTTGTATTACTGGGTTTAAAGATGAAGTCGGCGTTCAAAAGGGCGGACTTCTACGACACCGAAAGGGATTGGGATGAAGTTTTTGATTCAGATGCAAAAAATGTTGCTCTTAGTGGTATTGAATATAAACGTTGATATTATTCAATATCCGTACATATACAAATAAACATACAGAGAGCTAACTTTTTAATGTCGACAGAACGTCATGAGTAGCTACATATCCACTATAAATTTATTTTATACATGGGAAGTGCGTGAGTATTATTACAGCCAAAAGATGACGTCACCACCAACCAAAAATCAACCTAGTTTAGTAAAGCGAGTCACAAAATAGAGTCACAATCTGTCTCAACGGCCAGTTTATAATAGTTTATACCTGTAAACCACATATAAATCATATGTAGGCCTATTTTCTAGTTATAATTACTCCTATTTCGGCTGATGAGAAAGATCGTGACTCAATCTTTACGACCATATGGAAACCAGGCTTAAAACAACACCAAATGCAACATGCTTCGCGCTGCATACATAAGGTGTAGAGAAAAAATGGAGTACCCGATTCAAATTTAAATTTCGAAAAGAATATATAATAGAGTGAAACGTTTATGTTTATACATTCAAAAATTAAGCTTTCGTAGCGAATATTATATTTTATGTAACTGGAATTGGGAATAATTAAAATCAAATGCAGTAAAAAGTCGAGTATACTGAAAGAAATATTAATAACTAATATTTTGTCCAAAGGAAAAAGTTGAAGAACTTTGCCAAGTATAAACATGTATAATCACGGCTTTTGAAGCACTAACCCGATTAATTCACCAACTTTAGTCTATATGGTTCCAGTTATTTGCATTATTACTATTAAAATTATGTATGCGTTCTTAAATTTCCTCTTGACAGCATGCATGCAGTTATTGATACTTTCGACCCTATATGGTTACCGTAGTTACCATCTATATCTACTCTTTTAACCCAGTGCAATAGCAAACTCGCCCAAATTTATTGAATTTTTAAACCTGAAGTTTTCATTGCTAAAGAAATTTTTATGTGGGACTTGCTTAAACACCAATGGCAAATACCGCTTTTGCCTGCATATATAGAATCTCATGGTTTAATAAAAGCGGAACTGTCAATTATCAAGATCTGTCAAGATCGAAAGGAAAAAAGCAACCTTCAAAAACAAGAATATTTTATAAAGTCTATAGTATTCTCAAAATTGTAAAATATAAACGATGGACTCCGTTTTTTATACACCCTGTACTTACTTATAATATTCATAAAACGCTAACTCTATAGTAACAATTATATATATATTCAAACGTGATGCGCTGCATGTACAATGTGTTAATGGGGATAAAACTATATTTTTTTTAAATTAGGGCCTGCATGTGATATGAGCCGGGCTTCTCTGGTAAAACTGGTGCTAGCTCGCTTTTCCGGGCCAAGTTGTTATTTGTTTCACATGAGGCGCGGGCCAGCCCGGCAAGCCATATACATATAGTTTTATTTTCAAGCCATATACATATAGGTTAGAAGTTTAATTTAATTTCGGTGATTTCCGCGTACTTTTTTGAATTTCCACATGCTTTCCAGATGGAATAAAGCATGTATCATGGCACAATTTCAAGCCCTATTTGCTGGGTCGCAGCTAGGGCCGTACGCAGGATTTTTCACGGGGGGTGGCAGTAATACCTATATGCTGAAATAAGTACCCCAACGTCAAGTCGTCAATGCATTTAAAGTCATATAATTTAGGTGCATTGCTTTATATGGCTGCCTCATACAGAATCATACATTCTAATTCACAAGATTATGCCATTTGGCTTAATATATGGACGATGATTTTAAGAATAACACTTCAAAACATGCTCATCTGTTATTTGCTATGGCAGAAACGACAACCGTGGTTCAGGAGCTTTTTAAAGGATAAAACGGCTCTGTATGTGTTGTCTAAAATAGCATAAAATCTCCCTAGTTGCCGAGCAAAAAACATGCATGATGCTAAATATAAATCTCGACTATGATTGGATAATGGATGAACTAGTGAAGGTGCTAATTACAAGACGTCAATCACCCTTAATGGGCGAAAACTCATTACTGGCATAGCCATTTGGACAGGCGTTTCCTCAACGACGCCCTCTCTTCTCCCTCCCACATTAAACGCCTGCTACGCAGGCTATATCAGAGTACAAAACACTCGCCTTCGGATGACGTATAACAATTCTATATCGGTGCAGTACAGTGCATTTTTCAACATATCTCTATTCGGTGTCTGTGATTCAGCCCTTTTCAATTTCTTTTGTGAAGCTTTAAAGGTGCCCTACAGTCCGTATGTAAACAAAGCCTTTGTTTACATTTTTGTGCCCAAAATATTGAGCTTTATTTGACAACTATTTATATTCAGTTCAAGCTTCTAGAGTATAATAAATGATCAAGAAACAATAATCAGGCTTTGCAAGAACCCAAAATTACATAGTTAACTAGAGGGCACTCAGAGACTGCATGCATACCTCCGCCCTGCGCGCAAACTATTGAAGTAATCTATTGTTATTAGAATTTGAATGGCTGGTGCATATATTATACACGTCCTAATTACGCATTCAGTATAAAGTTTTATTTAATTGACCGGAAAAAGCAAGACAAACTTTTGTTATTTCTCATTCAATTTTTAACCAAATTCAACCAAATTTTAATCAGTTCTTCCTTTGCCGATGGGAAATGCATTCAAAAAATTTCGTATGGATATGTTTGGTATTTCTTGAGTTGTCGTGCTCACAGGCAAACACACATACACACATACAAACCCAGATGATTACATAACCTCCTGGTGGAGGTAATAAACTGTTTGTATCACAAAAAGTGGGCTCCTTTGTGCGCATACGCAGATCGGACTGTAGAGCACCTTTAAGTGAATTTGAAGTACGTTGCCATAGGAAATATATGACATCACAATTACATAGGTACTAATGTAAATCTGTAATTTGATCCATTTCTTATAAAATCTAAAACAAAGCACTGTAGCTATAACATTTTTTATAAAAGCATATACTTTCACGTTTCGATTTAAAGTTGTTCTACATATTTGGATATTAGCTTTTAGTATTCCCACCATTTGACTTACACGGGGGCATACACAACTGGCCACAGCTCCGTGGTAAACAGCGTAAACTATGAAATTTGCTTCAAATAAAAATGTTCTGAAGAATTTGGATTTTCAATATATATTTCTTTGGAATTTGTTCCTTTTTATACTTTTTTAAATTGTGGAAATGGATTTTCTAATTTGGGTTTCGTGCATACACGACTTTACCCTCCGCACGGGTTTGATTTCAGGAAAGTGTGGTAACATCCATGTAACAAGTCTTCTTGAACCCAATCTCGTTCCCAGAGTATGCCTGTTCGCGGGTTATGTAGTGGCATGACTTTGATTGGCTGCCGCGATCATCAATGTTGCCGACATATGAATGCGTGTTTTTTTTGCGAGAATTTTGCGAGAATGTTGCCAGGACTTTGGAGTGACAGCTTTTGCTTGTGTTAAATTAAAGCTTTAAACTAGGAGTTACTATCGCAAGGAAAATGCTGCCGACATGTACATGTAGGAAGTGCTACAAAAAGAGCGTTTTTCACTGTATGTATGATTTATTGTCTTACACATCGTCCTTCCTCAGTTACCTTCGTACAATTATATCTTACATCTAATCTTATGAAAAGTATATTTTAATATACTTAACAGTGCGACTTTGATAGTTGACACATAATATAAATGATAAAATGTGAATATTTTTTAATGATTTTGTCACTCGTACAACTTTTAATTTGGCTATTCAAACAATTGATTTAAAATACTTGAATTTATACTTACTGGGATGTTATTGCTTACTGGGATGTTGAAATTATGTTTGTTTTAAGTACATTTAATTGATATTCCATAAATTCATTTTGTATGATTTCATTGACCTTGACGTTGTTCAAAATCATTTTGTATTGTATTGAAACTGTATGTCTATGATCTATGTTATGTACTATATTAACCCATTGAGTCGCATTGCACCCTGATGCACCCTACTTTGAACAGTATTTTACTCTGTCTAACGCCAGACGATTTTACTCGTCAAGGGGAGAATGCTGGCGCTTAATGGGTTAACTGATCTATCTGCCCATGTGTCTGGTTAACCCATTGGGTCACATTGCACCCTGATGCACCCTACTTTGAACAGTATTTTACTCTGTCTAACGCCAGATGATTTTACTCGTCAACGGGAGAGTGCTGGCGCTTAATGGGTTAACTGATCTATCTGCCCATGTGTCTAGTTAACCCATTGGGTCGCATTGCACCCTGATGCACCCTACTTTAGTATTTTACTCTGTCTAACGCCAGACGATTTAACTCGTCAAGGGGAGAGCGCTGGCGCTTAATGGGTTAACACGCCCAAAATCTGTACTAAAACCGCTAATTCTGTTTTGTGATTGGCACAGTTTAATCAAAGAATCCTCCCGTTGAACCAGAGCCTTCACGATATTTCAATTTATTATTAACTGAAGGCTCTGGAATCCAGGATAGCTTGCCATTGAATACAGTGCAATGCTTATATTTCTGAATGAATAAGATCATACTCAGAACAGTCAGAACTGCAAAACTATATTGTTAGAAAGAAGTTGAAGTTGTGAGCATTATTGTGGTAACACAGCCATATGTATATATCAATGTATGTCCGTAGAATCATGTTTATAGGCTTTATATATACCTGAGGCCTTATACAAGTCATATCTTATACAAAAGTCAGTTGATATGCTATATTACATGTAATTGCTGATAAGTCCATATATGCAGACAACAATCCACACTGGGTAGCTCTAGGAATCTTGTTACGCCTGATTTAACAACATCCCGCGTTTGTTTTTAAACTATAAACATTTAGAAATAGAACGTACCGAACACTATTATATACTCACCGCCTTTGGCTTTGCACATATTAAGTGACATAACAAACAAATAAACTAAAAGTTCATTTGCTTCTTGTATCAGCATAAAGGCATTAATCATTACTGTCGATTTGGTCGGGAATAGATCAGTGATTCAGTGGGTATTATAATTGCCGATATATTCTTGAAATCATTTTGTTTCAATGCCTCTA